GTCCTGTTTTTCTTAATTTTTAATTTTTGTCGTTTGTTTCGCAAAAATTGCGCTCTTTTAGTTCATAGTTATGTGACAATATATATATATATATATAATATATTGTCCTCTTCTCTCTCTCTGCCTACGGTTTACCGGGCAGTTCTGTTTGTGACAATATATAGATGAGTCGGTGAAACTCCAACGAAACATTTAATCACAGCCCCTCGTTTGTTGTCCTCTTCTCCCTCTGCCTACGGTTTACCAGGCTGCCCTGTTTAACGATATATATACTGGACAAAAAGTATTGCAAAGGCTACCCAGCCTACTAAATCTTTGAGGGAAATAGCATAACTGGCGCCTTCATAGTCCATAACCGTATGTGCAAGTTTCCTTGCATACAGCTCTCACCGAGGTCCTTAGTTCGCAACTGAAAGTAAGCCCGCGGAGGCGATACGGGTGAGTCAGTAAGCGCCTTCAGCCTCACAGTAAGGCACAAAGAAGTTCTTCTCTACTACCGTCTTCACCCGAATAGAATGCCCGGTCATGATAGCCGTATTTGGTGCAAAATTGTCGGTCCAGATGCAGCCATAATGACCGGGCTTTCTATTCGGGTGAAGACGATAGGATGGGCATTATTATGGACCGACTTTTGCTGTGGATCAAAACGCAAGTAGCCAAAAGGATGCTCGTGAGGAGAAGGGGAGGGACAAGCAGCACAACTCGTCGGAAGAAGACAGAGGTTGGTCATCACTGCTAACATCTTGTCATTTCACTGCTAACATCTTGTCATTGTTTTGCTCCAGGTGGCAGCGACCACAGCATTCTAGCAGAGATGGATGCTCCAAACCAAGAGCTTGCAGCAGTGTGGTCACTTATGTCTCCACCGACGCAAGCGGAAGATCCATCAACGGTATGGTTGCCTGTTCCTCTACCCTGGAAATTGTTCACCCCTCCACGCCCCCGTCAAGGAGCAGCAGATGGCCAGGAAACTGAGTCGAGCAGCGGTACGGTGCAGCCTGGGAAAGGTGATGACTCTGATGAGAGAGCTTCGGCGGTGACAACGAACCAGGGGCAGAGGGAAGGATCCGGAGGGGAGCATCGACTAGGTTCCAAAAAGGGTTCAAAATTTGCAAAGTTTCTCGCAGATGCAGGTACTGGCTTGTTTGTGCCACAGCAAGGCCCTGCAGGGAGGGGCAATCTTATCAGAGATCGTGACAGGTTGCATGACAGCAGAGACAGAAACAAGAATAGGGAAGAGACTCAAGAGAGTACTCCTCCCTGCTCAGAAGAGAGGACAGGGCCGGCTCAAAGAAGTCGAAATGAAATACAGCATGGGGGGCATGCCAGCAACAGGGATGCCTTTAGGAGAAGCAGGCTGTGAACAACTATTCACCTCTCCCTCCCTCCTCGCCTCCCTCCCTCCCTGTGTCCTTCTCTCCCGCCATCGTCGCAACTCGTAAGGAGGGGGTCGAAATGTGGATGCCGTCTTCGATAGGTCACAGAATTACCAAGTCCATAGCAACTAGCTTAAGTGTAGGTACCAGGTATGTATGTATGTATGTATGTATGTATGTATGTATGTATGTATGTATCTGTTATTGCAAGGAGTTAGAAGGGAAATTGAGAGTCTCTCATGGTTCGGAAAACCAACCGCACAAGCAAGTTGCATTATGTGGAATCTGTGGATGTGCTGTAGTTATGACTGTATGTCCCTTCATAAGAGAATTGCCAAAGTTCGCAGGGCACTAAGTTTATTTTTGTATCACATAGGGATGATTATTACTGTGATGTAACCTTTCCAGTTCCTCGGCCTCTTGGCTAAGAAGATCAAGTGAATTATCTATACTGATCGGTTTAATATATCTGATCCGTGGTTCATCGGGCCAGAGACACACAAAGAAAAGAAGATTATTACTGTGATCTGCTCTGACTTGTGCTCGTAGGAAAGGTTCTGAGCCCTCGGTATCCAGTGGGATGAGATTTGAAGATCACAGAGGGCATTTTGTTGACAAATGGCACAGTGGTTGGGCTTAAAACACCATCGTCTGATCGATCGACATGCTGCCATGAAACTAGAAGAACATGTTCGACCTCGTACGGTTGCAATGCCAGAGAAGGAAGGAGGATGGGAAGATGACACTGTAGTCTGATCGATCAACAAATGATTCAACATGCTTCCATGAAACTACAAGAACTTGTTCAACCTCGTAAGGTCGCAATACCAGATAAGGAAGGAGGAGGATGGGAAGATGACAAAGAGTTAGAAAGATAGGGTTAAGGTCAAGGGGGGGGGGAGGGGGAGGGGGGGGAAGGGAAGGGTTAAGATCAGGGGGGGTTCTGCGGACAGGGCCCCAGGGTAGCCTATGAGCTTAGATCCAAGCACCACTGGGGGCTATGTCTGAGCCACATTGGCATAAATGAACTGTTGATGCATGCATACCCTGCCACCACCGGCTGGCTCAGTCAGTTTTGTCACCGGACTTGTGCTTCCTTGCCGGGCTAGATTTGCGCGGGCTTCCAAAACTGTTTTTTCTCCACGCGGACTTTTGCCTGGCCCTAAGAAATCCAACCCGTTGCGGCTTGGGAGTTGCTTGCTGCTGCGATCCACCAGCCTTTTTTTCTGACGGCCACTCCGAGCCTTTCCGCGCCCCTGTGTTGACTGGCAGGCGCGGTTTCGAAAGGGCGGGGATGCACCTGCATTGTATCAAGTGTTGAAAGTTGAAACCAATTTGTCTCATCGTAAAGCACAGAGCAGCAAAATAGTTCAGGTAGCGATGATAGGTTCCTATGAATAAGTAACCGAATAAGTAAAGAAATAAATAATTGAAATAATAAATGAATGGACACATAAGATATCTAGTTGGCGTATCTTGCAGCTGGAAGAGAATGAAAGATGAGAGAAAGGGAAAAGGAAAAAAGGAGAAAGAAGAAAGAAAGATAGCAGCAGAAACCAATTGTGATGGAGAGCAGATCCTCTCCCTCCATCTCATGAAGAAGATGGAGGGACAGGATATTGTCTCCATAGTGAGACATTTCTACGGCAAGTCTGCAACGTTGAAGACCTCCTCACCCCTCCCACTAGACCATACAAATGGGTCAGAGTGGAAATGACGAGTCATCTTGAACAGATGATATCCCCAGAGAAAGCAGAGATGTCGGACAAACCAATCAATCACAAAAGGGGAGCTCTTTTTTGCCCTCTGAAACATGAACCAGGATAAAGCACCAGGTAGTAGGTGCTGATTAACTCACCAAAGACTTCTGGGAATTCATCTCGCCAATGCAGCAGGGATGGCCCGTCTGCTCTTTCAAAGACTGGTTGGAGAAGAGGGCGGGGGGGGAAGGGTTACTAAAGGGAGCTTCGCAGCACAAGTTTTGTCAAACTAGATTAATAAAAGAAAGAAACCGCGAAAGAAAGGACCAAAAGAAGATACGAATAACTGGACACCGATGAACTGAACACCGATCGCTCTCCTGACAACATCCTTACAAGATTTTGGCAAAGGCGTTGGCCTTCGGCATACGCTTTTCCTCCTTTTTTTTTATGGTACCAAAGAAAGGATGTGAAAGTCCCGGAAGATATTGACGGGACCACTACCCAGCTTCAGTTATGGGTAGCTTCCCGGAAACCGGGTCCAACGCCCCGTTGCCAAATCCAGGCCAACCTCAACCCCATCAGCCTGCATGATAGAACACACTTACGCCCAGTACATTTCTCACCGATTTTTTCAAAGTTGCGTCTTGCATGCTGCTGCAGTTTTCGGGGCTAGGCCGTCGGAGCAAAATGGCTGGCGCCGTTCGTTCTTTTTTGGCACACAGGGTGTTTTCAGCCACAGGGAAAAAGTGCGTCGGAAGTACTGGTGGTTTCAACCGCCAGTTCACACAAACATAAATTGACGAACGGTACCTTCCAAGGCCTGCGAGCCTACAACTGCGCCTTTTCAAAGTGCCCTGCCTCTTTCGCTACCGGCCAAGGCCCGAAGTGAAATGCCCTTACCGCATATAGGGGTAAGAGCGCTACTTAGGCTTGTGCGAACTGGTGGTTCAATGTCTCTCCGCATTCTAATTTAGGCACTTTCTAACCACTCTTAGTAGAAGACTGTGCTTGCTGGAGGCCAGGTCCAGCACCTCTAGCTTTACAAGTCACCCCATAACAACCTCACAGACAAGTGCTTTCACATCGAAGAAGCAGGTTTCGTCCCTGGACGATGCATGCTTGACAGTGTGATGATCAGCAATGAAACAGTGAAAAAGGTCATGGAAGGGACATCAAAGGCAGACAATGCCAGAAATTCTCTTCTTCAATTTTGAAAAACCCTATGATAATGTAAGTTGGGACTTACTGCAAGCCAGTATGGAGAAAATGGGGTTAGGCCCAAATGTTGTGTTCGGAAGTGGGCACGTATCTTCCATGATGAGTACACTTTCTGTGCACAGGTACCTTTCAGTTCCTGGCTGGGTCGAAGAGACGCCACGATTTTTCTGGGGGCAGCTGTGTATGGTCCGACAAGGTGGTCCCATGCCCCTGCCTATCTTTTTGTTTGTCGTGGAGGCGATATCCTTCTTTCTGGGAAAAGACCCCTCCATTTCCAGGCTGATGAAAGCTACACCAGGCTCCCACCATCAGATCTCCTTCCTATTAGTTATGCTTTGGGTTGATGATATCACTGTTACCATATGAGCCTCTGACCCAATACCTTTCTTGGTCTTTTGGCTAAAAATAGATCAAGTGTAGTATCTGTTATTCTGATCAGTTTAATATCTGATCCATGGTCCATTGGGCTACATTAAAAAAAAGAAAAAAGAAAAAAAGGAAAAAGAGCCTCTGACCCGTCCAATAGGACCTTAGCAACGGACGATTTTCCGGTTAGCCTTCGAGATGAAGATTAAACCGCCAGTACCTTCCCTAGCTATCGGCCGCGGGCCGGCACCGAGTTTTGGCGGCGCATCTGGCCACCGCCAGAGGTCGAGTGCGGCCTCCGTGTTAACCGGCGCGAAACGGAAAAATGGCTGGGAAAGGTACTGGTGGTTTACCTGGGCCAAGACCCCTGCACCAGCGGGCCCCGCTCAGTTGGTACACCCATGAACTGTTGAAATACAGACCCAAGTTTGAATCCCGATGCAATCAGATGGACAGAATAAAACGATTCTGAATTGCCAGGGCCGGTCATCTCAGCGCTGGTACCTCAAGGTCGTTGCCCTTTCAAAAAAAAAAAAAAAAAAAAAAAGGGCCAAGACCCAAGGATGACGGTTAGCCAAAACGGCCAGCCTGCAGCCAGGGAAGACCCAGAAAATAAGTCGGTCGGGACCCCTCCACACAAGGCGATTGGATGTTTGCAAATTATGGTCAGGAAGTACAACCCAACCCCCCACATGGGCCTACTAAACCTCCTTCCCAGTTCAATTAACAGAAAAAGCAAATTGAAGCAGGTTTTCACATGTCTTTGTAGCAGGGCATTAGCAATGGACACCTCAATTTCCTCCATGCAGCGGGACCTCTCCTCTATATGGTTCCCGCCGGATCATACATTCGAAGAACTCTGTCTAGGCGATCAAAACAGAAAAATCCCCTACACACGAGTGCCCCCAAACATAACATTTTAATGAGCCCATTGGTTGAATGAACTCTTTCGGACTGATGCCATACATCAGTCATCCGGATGTCATCGATGTTGACGGAGGAGGGTTGGTGGAAAAGGGAGGTTTTGATGGTTAAGGGGGACCTGGGTGGAAGAACCCCCTGAGGATGATCGCCTGGCAGTGATCGAAACCGGTCGGGGGGCCACTTTCCGAAGTGTTTCAGTTCGTTCCGAGAATGTTCTTTGTTTTTTATTAATATATATATTTTTAACAAAACAGGTCCTTATTCCCCCAGCAAGTCAGAGGACTTACATATAATACACACTCACGCTTCCTTCCGTCTGGTCTGGCCGAAGGATCCCTGATCAGCATTGATTACTCCCTTGTAGGAGGATTGACTGTCAGCTTGCCCTCTCAACTCCGTTCCTCTCAGGCTGCTGTATAGGCCTGCCAGATATTCCTCTACCTAACTAGAGAAGTGAGAGGTTTTGCTGACATTCGTTTACGTTTGGCATTCTCACGCCCTGTTTATCGACCTGCTTGTTCCTGTGTTTGTCGTGCTGATCTTTGGTCTTGGACTCCCAACTTCGGTTGTCGCCTTTCCGTCACCCTTGATACCATTTCTTCCATATCGCTCTGTTGTCCGTTATGGTGACCACCTTGCCCTTGATTAGCCAGTCCTTTAGGAATGCTCATCTCTTAGCTGTGTGCTTATCTGGTCTGTGTTTCGCTGATGAAGATATCGTCCGCCATCTGCTCCGGATTTCGGACTCCGCCATGTGTATCAACAGAGTCCACATGTCTTCCTTTGCCACCTCTGCTCCCTCAATTGTCTGTGTGCATCGTTGTTTCCATATGATCCAGAGAGTTAGCTTTCTGAGTAATTGGAACCAGACATCCCTGCTTCCCTCGAGGTGCCCGGGAGTGTTCGGGAGGAGTAGAATGGTTAGGGGGGGAAAGTTAGGTATTTTTGTTGCACATCACGCAGATTTCCGAGCTGTTCGGGTCTGAGTGTTTCCTTCTTTTGTGAAGCCATTGGTTAACCGGGAGGGCTGAGTGTGCAAGGAGCCATTGCATACTTCGGATTCTAACTGGTCTGATAAGAAGGTATTTGGCCCACGGGATGGAGAATTGGGCCGGCGGGTCCAGATTCAGGCTGGTCTGCCATTTCTCTACCAACCTTGGATTTGGATCTATGGTCTGTAGTCCGAAGTCGTAGCCGAATTTTACATCGTATTGGGAAATTGTTCTCGACTTCCCTGTAGTGTCCTGTTTCCACCTCCAGTCCTCGGGGTCGAATTCCAGGTCTTCAATACTGAGTTCTGGCTGGGATATGACCCATGGTCTGTTCTGGGAGACTCGGACCTTCCCGAGGAGGAAGGTTTCTAGTCGCGTGACCCGGGGGTCCTCGTTCTGGATTACGAGCTCCTGAAGGGTATGGTTGGCGATAGGGCTGGACAAGAAGTTCGATCGGTAGCTTGAAGAGTCTGATCTAGATACAAAGCGGTATGCCCTCTCAGGTGGAGTGTGCATAATAAGTATGCCCCAAACGCCTGTTTTCCAAGTAGATGTTTCTCTGAGGAGCGTTGACCACTG